GAGGGCCGTGGGAGGGCCGCATTTAATAGAGCAGGGAGGGCTGTTCGAGGGCCGGATTAAACCGGGCCGCGGGCCGCAAATGGCCCGCGGGCCGGACTTTGGACATGCCTGCTCTAGGGCATAAAAATTAAAGCCCTAGAATTTTCAGCCAGTTATGCTGAAGAACAATGCTATTTTTTATTTGATTGATGGTCATTAGCAGGCTCATTTTACCTGTTGATTTCCCAGTAGTGTTGATACTCTTATATCCATATTGTATGAAACCATTGGGATAAACTATCTAGAACTTTAGAATGTATTTGCTTGCTTGATTTATGCTGCACCTTTTTATCCAAACAAGCATTCATGGTAAATTGTATGTTTGTATACTGAGCACACTCAATATTCTGTTACAGAGGTTCCCAACCTTTTGGGCAACAGAGACCGGTTCCGTGGAGAGAGGTTTTTCCACGGACTGGAGGGTGCGTGGTTTTGTGTGCTGCCTGCATCTTGTGGATGGGACTTTTCTTGTTTGAGCAGACCGGTTGCTGGCATGCCGCGGCCCAGTACTGGTCCACAGACCGGGGCTTGGGGACCCCATTCTATTAATCATTTGGGAGCAGTTGTCTTGGACTTGAATGAATGTAGGGAAGTTTTGAGCATCTGAGGTTACACAAATTGAATTTAAATCCAGGTTAGTTTTAGAGATGGCTGATTTGCAATCCTCAAACTCTAAAAACCAAATGCATAAATAGATTTTGCAGAACTATTGGGGAGACCAGATGAGTCTGAATAAAATAACACTGGACTGGGTCAAAAAGGAGATTAGGATGCATTGATACATTACTGTGTCTGCAGTACATTGATAAGTTTCAAAAATAAAATTGCCTCAGAATAACAGATTGTCTTTACACATATCACAGTGCAATATTTGGAAATCAATATTGTGGGATGTCTGCAGATGTCCACTGTAGAAGGAATGATGGACAAACAAACTTCATTCCGGATACAGTGTTTGGGAATCTGGGTGAGTCACAAGGCATACCAACTTGATTACTGTTATAGATACACAAACTTTTGCCAGTTCTCAAATAATCAGTTCAGTTACCTAACAGAAATGTATTTCTCAAAGATATTTGATGAACTAAGACTTTCTACTTCAAGCTTTCCTTGTAAATCTGTACAAGTATTTTCCATATACTACCTTACTGATACTGTATTATTAATAATTCTATAGATAGATTTTATAAATGGCATAAAATCAACTATAAAATCAACCATACACATGTGGCAAACATTTCATATGAACAGTAATCTTGTTATAGTGTAAATATCTGTTATTATAAAAATGATATATCACTAAAAAGAGCAATTCATTATACAGCCTGTTATATCTGTAATAGTCCCACAGTGCTTTAGTGATAATAGAACATATAAATAATATCACGTGCCACTCATGAATTGCTTTCTGTAACT